GAAATAAAAGTGACCTTAATGCATTATGTATGCCTTACAACATCTGACCTATTCCTTTACCTGATACAGGTTAGAATCTGTAGGGAGAAAGCAACTGGTCACGTATATGCAATGAAGAAGCTTAAGAAATTAGTATACATTCTCTCATACCTTTTTTTTCAAATCTAATTTAATTTTTCTTCCCTAGGCTTAGTACAATTGGTGTTTTTTTGTTTAGGTGGAACATGTGAAAGTTGAGAGGAATCTACTTGCTGAGGTTGATAGTAATTGTATTGTCAAGCTCTATTGTTCGTTCCAGAAAGAAGAGTACTTTTATCTAATTATGGAAGATCTTCCTAGTTGGGATATGATGACTTTATTGATGCGCAATGGCACATTGACAAAAGATGAAGCTTGTTGAAATAGATCAAGATCACAAGTAAATCAAGTATGGGTTGTGTTAGTGATGTTGCACAAGTAATGCTGCACAATAAAAACAGGAAAAACAGGTTGTAATTATCACTATAGCTAAGTTATAGGGTTAAAATGATGGCTACAACCTTCCAACTTGTCAATGTCTCTCCCTAAAATCTGGGATCTCCTTACTTGTAATTATTATTTGTTTAGCCGTTGTTGTGTCTGGTTTTCTAACGCAAAAACCATGTGGTAGGTAGTGGCTGTTGTCCGCTATTTTTGTAATCTGTCATCTGGCTCTTTATAAGAGCTTTGTTCTCTCTCTTGTAAAGATCATGATCAATATACAAACCTTGAAATTCAATAAAGCTATATTTTATATTGGGGAAACCATCCTAGCTATTGAGTCCATTCATAAACATAATTACATCCATAGGTACATTGATGTTAGTTTGATTATCTGATTGTACACTTGTACACCATATGTAGATGCCCTATTATCTAATTCAAAGGAACATTACTTTGACCATATTTACAATATTATTACTATAATAAATATTTATAAAGTGTTGTCATGTAGAATTTTAATACCTGGGTTATTGTTTGCTAGTTCTTCAGGTGATTGTGAAGGTGATGAGGGTCGTGGTGATGGTGGTTGAGCTGGTGGTACAGGTGCTGTTGGAAGTATGCCCACAAAGCCACTCATTTGATGTAATAGCTTTTTGGAATACTTATTGTGTTAAACTTTTATATGTTTAATAGAGGGCAAAGCTTATTGTTAATCACTATTTATAGTATCTTGTGTTTAAGCAATAAGGGAATCCAAGGAATGTATTTGATCTAAGAGACAAGTGATTTAAGTTAGTTAAATTAACGAGACCTTTCTCTTATGTTCATTCCTAAAACGTTCCTAGCCATAGGATTGCCAATTGGGCATTGACAATCCGCTAAGGTTAGTATGTGTTATGTCGACTCAAGCGTGAGTATGAACTAGTCTCAAGTCATTTGGTGTTGGACACTAAGGCAAACACATAGGTGCTCGAAAGAGTAATCGAGTACACTGAACAACGATCAAACGAGAGTTCGAACATACATGTCATGTGAGAACTCAATAGTTGCAATATGCAAAGTAGTCCTTTGACTTGAGGCATCATTGATGTCTAATGGTTAGGTCCTTGATCTTTGATTATGTCAACGACATTCCATTGGAGTGTCCACGGCATTGTTGGGGTCAAGCTATCTAGTCATGTAGGCATATGAATGCACAACAAGGGATCTCTAACCTTCCATGATGGAAGGAGAATACTCTAAGATATGATTCGAGAGTCTTTGGCCAAAGCATATGAATATGACTAAGGAAGATGTTCCAAATCTTATTCAATTGAATCATATAGAGAAGTATCACATTGGATAGTAGACATGAAACAAACTATCACTTAAACAATGTGATTAAGAGTATTGTATTAGAGAAGGACCGTATTGCATTGTAGTTGTAACTGGATAGGTTCTCCAACCACTTCTACTTAGCTTGGGTAACCATGACATGCTGCTAGGCGTCACCCATGGTTTGTGGAAGCCCTAAAGATTAGCAAACACTAATTTTAAGGGAGAATTGAAATGTGGTTTCAATTCACAATCGATCGTTAAGAGTAACATCGCCCACTACCTCGCTAATTGGAACCTAATGGATCGTACACCGAGTAAAGATATAAGTGAAGAAATTATATGAAATGGATAAGCAATTAAATGGTTTAATTGAAGAATGGTCAAGATTAATTAAATAGTTAATTAATTATACGAAACGTTCGTATTGGGCGTTTAAGTTAGTTTTGGGCTTCGGGGCACAAAAACGTTTTGGTCCACAAGGCCCATTATGTTTAAGTTGTATGACAACTAAAACAAAATGGGCAATTAAGCCCAATAACTACATAGAGGCCGGCCATAAGGGTGGAGGGTAGTGAACTTGGCTTAATTGCAAGTTTGCCACTCCATTGTGAGGTGGTATAAAGACATCTTTATAGCCATTTCATCCTTAGGGTTTTCTAATTGAATTTGGGTGAAAAATATTCTCTCATTTTCTCTACATAGAGGCCGGCCACCTTAGGTGAGGAACATCTAGCAATCTTTCTTCCTTAAGTCATCCATTTCATCTTCACACAACATCTTTGGTGTGGAGACTTAGAGACACCAAACTTTTGGTGTTTTGGAGAACAAATCCTCAAATCCTCAAAGAAGAAAAGGAGCACTAAAAGGGAGAAAATCACAAGGAAGATCCAAGGAGCAAGGAGGTGACTTGAAGGCCCTCCACTTGGGTGAATCCCTTATGCAATCAAGGATGAGCTTCAAGGGTAAAGAATCTCTAAATTCTTATTCTCTTTAATATTGTTAAAGAGTCTTATGGTTCACCATATACTAGGCTTTGAAAGTCATGGGTTTTATGAATTGTTTTTGAATGCATGCCTACTTTAAAGTGTTATTAGTTTGCATATGTATTCAAATGTTCTTACATGTTCTTAGCTAGGACAAAATTTTTCCTTCAGGTGCATCATTTGGAGGAGGTGGTGTACGATCCGTCACCATTTTCACCCTCTTTCCTAGTTGCATTGGAGCTGATAATGCAGATAGTCGAACAAAAAATACATTACTTTAGCAAGATTTGTGACAACTTTACTAAGATAAATATTTATAAAGAGTTGTCATTTAGTATTTTTATACCTGGGTTATTGTTTACTAATTCTTCGGATGATGGTGGTGGTGGTGGAGCTAGTTGTACAAGTGCATCATTTGGAGGAGGTGGTGTGCGATCCCTTACCATTTTCACCCTCTTTCCTCGTTGTATTGGAGCTGATAATGTAGATAGTCAAACAAAAAATACATTACTTTGGCAAGATTTGTGACAACTTTACAAAGACAAATATTTATAAAGAGTTGTCATTTAGTATTTTTATACCTGGCTTATTGTTTACTAGTTCTTCAGGTGATTGTGATGGTGATAGGGGTCGTGGTGGTCGTGGTGGAGCTGGTGGTACAGGTGCATCATTTGGAGGAGGTGGTGTGCGATCTATCACCCTCTTCACCTTTTTTCCTCCTTGCGTTAGAGCTGCCATCTAAATAAAGAAAAGACACAAGTTACAACATAATAACATCACAAAATAATCTTACATTATAAGCATAGCATACAAACCTTTTTATTTTAGAAAATTAAAATTAACGTATCATGCATGAATCTCACCAAAATCATTAATCATAATCATTATATGTATAAGTTGTTTCACCATCTTCATTATTTCCAAATAACAAGTCCTCATCCTCCTCATTTTTCTCCCTTTCCTCCTCTTTGTCTGTCTCCGCCTCTGCCTCATCCATTTGTTGCCCCATTACACCAAGCATTCTTCGAATCTTTTCGTCAACATCAATTGATTCTAGATCAATGTCCTCTCTGCATAATGATATAGTACCTTCATCATTGTCATCTTGAACTGGCCGTATTGAATTATCACTTTCATGCTCATACTCATCATCATCTTTGTCATTTTCGTCATCATTATCATCATCATCTTTCTCAAGAACATCCTAAACATGCCTATGTTGAATCTTCTGCACAACTTTCCAAGGATGACCCAACTTTAAATCGTCAATATAAAATACTTGTTGTGCTTGTGTAGCTAACACATATGGGTCACTATCATACCACCGATTGTTTACATTCACCTATGTAAGATGAAAATCTTGAATGATCTTTTTTCCTTTGGTATCCATATTGTACCAATGACATTTGAAAAGAATTACCTTAAAACCTCTTGTAAATTGAACTTTAATGACATTAACTAAGTTGCCATAAAAGTTACACGGTTCACCATTATGTGATCCATACATCATTACCCCATTATTCTGTGTTGTGCGGTTTGGATCAACAAGTGTGACCAAATATCGTATACCATTCACAATACACCCTGTGTATTGGATAATGCGTCGATCAGGACCTTGGGCTAATGAAAAAATTTCTTCACTTACCAATCTAGGTTCTTGAAAATATAATGACCTGACTTGCTGCCTAAACCAGTCTGGAAACAACTGTTTATGTCTCTGTTCTACATTAGCATGATTCTCTCTTTCCAAAAGTTGGATATGCTCATTACATGAATATAAAAAATATCAATTAAAATAATGGAATTACAAATATCATAAGTGAATCTTGAACTATTAAAATCACATACTTTCTGAAGTCTTCAATTTCGTCACAATTGTCTAAGATATACCAATAAGCCATTTCTATATCTTTCCTCGAAAGTTCAGCCATTACATGACCTCCAATTGGACGTGCTTTTTGAGCAAAAACAGAAAGGAGTGCATTGGTATCATCACCATCATTGTTTCTTTCTGGTCGAGTGAATTCCATCTCAACATCACATAGATACATGGAAATGTTGAAGATTCGTATGCCATGTGCACTTCCACAATAGAGCCTTCAGGTCGAGCTTTGTTACAAACAGATTTCTTGTACGTGCTTGACAATCTAAAAGTTAAATTATTGTTACTATGTAGAAAAACAAACTAAATTAAACTAAAGCAAACATGATGACACATTACCTTTCTACAGGATACATCTAGCGACATCCAACTGGTCCTGCTAATTTAGCTTCTCGTAGCAAATGCACAGTTAAATGAACCATGGGAACGAAGAAAGCAGGCGGGAATATTTTTTCTAGTTTGCACAATATAAGCACAGTATCTTCTTCCAACTTATCAAGATCAGCAACAGTAACTGTCTTTGCACATATTTGTTGAAAGAAATTTGACAACTCAACAATTGGTACATATATCTGCCTTTTCAAATGTTTTCGAATACCCACGGGAAGTACACGTTGCATCAACACATGACAATCATGGCTCTTTAAACCCATAACTTTTCCTTCATTTACACGCACATTTTGTGAAATACTAGATGCATAACCATCAGGAAATTTAATTGATTGCAACCATTGCAAAAAATCTTTACGCTCGGAAGGATTGAATACATACTGAGCTGGTGGCTTATCCAATTTATTATTTTCATTCAATTCCAATTGCAAACTTTCCCTGATATTCATGTCTTTTAAATCCATCCTCGCCTTGAGTGTGTCCTTTGATTTCTCCGTGTTCAACAATGTCTCAATCAAAATATCAAATATGTTCTTCTCAATGTGCATGACATCAAGATTATGCCTAATCTTCAATTTCGACCAATATTCCAACTCGAAAAAAATACTCTTCCTTATCTAGCTTAATTCTTCAGCATTCTGCTTCCTCTCTTGTCTTTATTATCATGATGCTTACCAAATGTACGAGGAACAATATAATCTAATTGATCAAGTATGTCCTTGCCTGAGAAATCTCTCGGACAATTTCTCATCTTCGACGACCACTAAAGAGTGCAGTATTCTTCCGCCATGAATGATTAATTGGTAAATAGCGACGGTGTCCAATATGACAATACTTGCTTCTCAGCTTGGTGTACGATCCATCCTCATTACATACTGGACATGCCAACTTACTGTGAGTGCTCCAACCTGATAAATTTCCATAAGCAGGAAAATCATTGATGGTCCATATCACAGCTGCATGCACATTAAAAGTACATACATCCATCTTATCATAAGTTTGAACGCCACTTTCCCATAATTCCTTAAGCTCATTTATTAATGGACGCAAATATATATCAATCTCATTTCCAGGTGCATTGGGTCCAGGAATTAACAAGGTGAGAAAAGAGAATGGCTTTTTCATACATTTCCATGGGGGCAAATTATATGGAAACAAAACAACTAGCCACATACTATAAGGCTTGCTCATATCCGAAAAAGGATTAAACCCATCAGTTGCAAGGCCCAATCTAACATTTCGTGGGTCTCGAGCAAAATCAGGGTATATTTTGTCAAACTTTTTCCAAGCAATAGAGTCTGCTGGATGCCTCATTGTGTTCACATCATTGACTCTTTTATCCTTGTGCCACCTCATGTCTTTGCTCATATGTCTTGACATGAATAACCTTTGCAACCTTGGTTTAAGTGGAAAATACTGCAATACTTTTCTCAGAACTTTCTTTCTTTGCTCACAAACACTAGCCTTATACCTTGGCTCATTACATACTAGACATCTATCTTTCTTTTCATGTTCTTTATAAAACAATGCACAGTCGTAGTAACAAGCATGGATATTTTCATACCCCAATCCAAGACATCTCAATATCTTCTTGCACTCATAGAATGATTTAGGAACGTGGTTGGGTTGGGGACACATCTTCTTCATCATTACTAACATCTTATCAACTACCCTGTCAGTCATATAGTTGGTAACTTTGTTGTGAATTAATTCCACAATGTAGCTCAATACTGTATATTCATTGCATCCAAGGTATAGTTCCATTTGAGCTTCATGAAGCAACTTCTAATAGTTATTAAAATCTACCCTATGAGCATTAGTCACCTCACCACTCCACAATGTATCTTGATCATTGTCATTATCATCCAATATTTGAAATGCATCCTCAATCATATTGACCATGTTGCCATTAGGACTACTAGTTTGCTCGTCATTCGTAAATCCTGAAGTTTGTCCTTGCACTTGATGGATCCGCTCACCATGATATATCCATGTATCATAATTCATATCCATACCGAAATTCAACAAATGAAGATGAACATCTTCAATAGAATGAAAAAATCTGTTATGGCAAACTTTACAAGGACATGATATCTGATTATTCTGGTTCACATGATGACGAGCAATGTCAATGAATGACTTGACCCCTTCTCTATATTCCAAACTAAGGAGATTCCAATTACAAATCCATTGTCTGTCCATGATGTCCAACTGTATTTTAACACAATATTAACTTACTAAGACTTATTTTTTGAAACACTATATGTTTTAGATTAAAATAATTTCGAGTAGCTAGATATGGAATTTACATAAACGAGGAAAAGATATATTAATTTCAACAAGATAGGATACATGTCTTTCGTAGGATGTGTGTGTGCATACATAAAAGCCATATGATATTTTTAAAGTGACAAAATTAATAAAATTTGTATCCTAAAATTCCAAATATTGTATGCATTAATAAATAAATAAAAAGTTTATAGATTGGTACCTGATTGTTCTATTCTCCAAAGTATTGTAAAATGTATCTTATCCTCTGTGCTGATTCCCTGAAAACAAACGGCAAAACACACCATATAGGTCAAGGGTTTGTTTTGTTGCTAATGAGAGAGTGAGAATTAAAATACTCTGATGCTAAAAACAAATATGCAAAACTACACTCTTGCACATTGGAAACTTTAATAAAACTTAGAGTATTTCAATTTAAGTGGACCTGCCAACCCTAAATTTAGTAGAGTTCTAAAATTGTATTACAATTCTTTTGAGCTGGGTTTTCATTAGCAGGAAATATAGTTGGAGGACGTTGTTGCAATAAAAACTTTGCCCTCTCAGTCATAGTAATTGAAGGATACTTCGCCAAAGCCTTCCATAATGGCTGAATGCATACAAGAATTTCTCACATCAAATCGTCGATACAATTGAGAATCAAGTTCCTTTGTGACAAAGATGTAGGGAAAATAAATGATTTTTTATGCAAGCATTTTTAAAAAAATACAACACCAGCCTAAAGAACCCAAAGAATAAGGTCCATCTCATTATAGAAGTCTTGGTGTTCTAGGAGAATCATGCATGGGATTTTGCTAGAGAATTCTAGCAAGCAAGGTCAATGCATCATGCACAGGGGTGAATCTATTAAGGGACCAGGGTGGTCCCAGGACCACCCGAAGCTCGAAAAAATGGCTGTGAGGATCTTCAAGGACCACCCATGTTAGTGATGCTGCACAAGTGATACTGCACCAGTGATGCTGCACTAGTGATGCTGCACAAGTGATGCTATACTAGTGATGCTGATGCTGCACAAGTGATGCTGTATAAGTGATGATGCACCAGTGATGCTGCAAAATGTGCTTAAAATGATTGTTGATGATAATACCAATCATAGTGTGGTCGAAGCAAATAGGTTGTTGAAAGACATACGATCTTTTGAGTTTGTGTTTCTCATACTTTTTATGAAATCTATATTGGGAATCACGTATCGTTTATCACAAGCATAACAAAAGGATGATCAAGAGATTGTGAATGCAATGACTTTAGTCAACACATGTAAAGAACATGGAAGCTCACATATAATCATTTCCAACACTAAATACATGTTTTACTTGATATATCATTGAAATCATATATAGCATAAATGAATGTAGCTTGATAACTAACTTGGAAGCTCACAAATCCATGACAGATAAACTATTATATAAAATTAAAAGCAACACAATGGATAGACAAGAAAATAGCTATAGAAACTGTAAGGGAAATATGTCATAAACTTATCAAGGGTATTATGTTAAAATAGATTTTCTTTTTAAAATGAATCAGTTGGTAGATCAACTGATATCACACAGCTCTTTCAGCTTTCGTATGAAAACGGCCAACACAAATATGTAGTGCATAAAACCAAATGGATTAAGATTTTCGTCAATATACTGTTTAGCTTCTATAAATTGCCATAGTTCATTCAAACAAAATTTATGTGCATAACCTAAAACAAAATTAAGATAAGGTAAGACCTTACCCACTTACAGCCACCAAGTTAGATGCAAGTATCTGGGTGTTGAGGAGAGTGGGGCAAATCAGAGTGCAATGGGGAAAAAAAGGGTGCGATCTGTGGGAGATGAAGGGGAGATGGGTGGTTGCCGATGATGGCAACCACTGGAGCGCAAAAGAGGGAGATGAAGGGGTGGGGTGAAAAAGGACGAAAGTGAGAGTGGGTACTCTCTGTTTAGAAAACCAAAGGAATATGAAGGTGGACTCTATGGAAGAACTTCAATTATTTTATTTTAAGTTTTCATATTTGGCTTTTATGAATAATTTTTTTATATATAATCAGTGAGGCATCTTTAGCTTCACATTTGAGTATGTCATATTATTTAACATTATGTGACGCATTCTACAATTTGTCACCAATAAACTTTCATTTGGGCGGTAAAATTTCCCGCCCATTTATATGTTGCGAATTTGAAAGTTATATGTGACGCATACAATCTAAAAAATCATGCTGGTCCCGCGAAAGTTTTTATATGACGCTTTCTAAAATCTCCTCACTTATTCTCATTATATATGATGAATTTCTGGGTGCCACCATAAATTCCGTCGCATATTCCTTGTTTTCTTGTAGTATTTAGAAAGTTGTTTATTCTCCTTATTTTTTATCTAAATATTTTTTTTTTTTTTTTTTTTTTTTTTTTTGTAAAAAAATTATTCAATTTGAAGATCGTTAGTCATCTATATGCAATAAATAAATACACAATTCTTCATGAGAATATTACTTAATAGTAAACACCACACTGTCAATTTGTTCGACTGTGGATTGCTAAATGGTCTAGAAATTGATTTAAGTTGAATGATTTTTTTTTTTGTTTTTTGTTTTTTGTAAAAATGATCTTTAGATGATGATGATAAAGAGAATGAACTTTTCAAATTATTAATGTTTGTAAAGTAAAAACTTTGAATCACAAGTGAGTAGACAAGTAGATTCCCTTATAAATGGACACAAGTATAATCTTAAAAAAAATTACGGTTTTTATCACAAATGGTCAGGAAGATTGATCAAACTCATCATTTTAATCCCTCACTGTCAAAATCAATCAATATTGTCCCTAACATTCATTATCACGCATCAATTTGGTCTTTTTGTTTAAATTCCATCAATTGTTCTATTAGTTTGTATGTGGGACCCACAAATCCAATAAAATAGTGACATGAGTGGCAGGTCCAGGGTTTCAACATTGGGTGGTCCTAATTGTAAAAGTTTTAAAAAAACTTAAACGAAAATAACATTGAAAAATCTTACAATAAATTACTATTTGATGTTAGAGAGAAACATTCCAACATCAGATTGTTTGATCTAATCAAAATAAAAAATCATATGAACTAACAAAGACATAATATATATATTAGAAATTATTATTTGCACTATAAAAATATCACTTTGTATTTCAAACTTTCTAAAATGAGAAAGAAATCTACACTTACGAGGAGTGTAAAATATAATTTTTAAAATATAGAAAAAGTTCTCTATAAATTAACCAACAATGATCAAATTGTTATATAAAAAAAAAAAAATCATAAACTACATCACAATAATCATATGAATATTTTCATCTAACACACACATAAGACCAAAATCATAAAATTTATTTGAAATTCAATATTGTAATGAGGTGATGATGGAAAGATAGAGGTGGAATAGTTTTGGTGGGGTAAGGTTTGTATTGGATGGGTGGATTTGGGGATTTGTGCTAATTAAAAGAGGGAATTGCATGAGAAGTAGTTGGGCCTTGGGTTTGTAGACGAAAAAGAGTTTTAATTTTTTGAATGGCCTGGCACAAAACGGCACCGTCTAGGCCAGGTCATTAAAAACAATTTTAAACTTTCTTCTTCTTCACTAAATTCTACTGGGTGCTGCGTTGCAAATTCATGGAGTTCCAAAACCAGCACGGGACCAGGCAGTTGGGTGGTCCTTAACGATCTTCATAGATGCTTCTCCAATCTTCCGAAGGGTCCTGGGACCACCCAGGTCCTGTAATGGATTCGCCTTGGACACATGGATTACACATAATAGGGGCTTTTATCGCAAATGGTTCCTGACATTGATCTAATTCCTTATTTTGGTCCCTAAGTTTCAAAATTGATAAATTTGGTCTTTAACTTTCATTACCACTCATCAATTTAATCATTTCATTAAAATTTTGTCAATAGTTTTTGTTAGTATGCTGATGTGGTGTGACAACCAGTCCCTAATTTTACGATTTTATTAATTTTTTAAAAGAGTGAATTGACGAAAATGCCCCTATTGGCGAGATTGTTGATTTTCTTTGACCTTCATTTAGTGACGCGTGCAAGTTACTATTTTACTGTACTCTCACAACTCTCAACGGGATGATCGCGTAAGCTTAATCTAAATCGAAACCGGAGTTACGATAGTGCTTTTACGGAACTACAAATTCGAAAAGTACCTTTGTAAAGATTACTATTTATTAATTTATATATCTCATATTTATTATATTATTATTTTAATATTAGTTGAGAGAAATGAAGGAAAGGAGAAGGATGGACAGAGGAAAGAAGGGATAAATGAGAGAAAAAAGGAGCTGCTGCCCAATCAGAAGAGAGAGGGGAAAAAGGAAAGAAAGGAGGGTGGATGCCTAATCAGAAAGAAGAGAAAGAGAGAGTGATCAACCAGAGAGGAGAGAAAGGAGAGGAAATGAGGGAGTGGAGGAGCATCGGATCACCCTTGACCCGGTTTCTCCTTGCCGACCCGACCCGATTTTGAAACTCCCCAATGTCGATTTAGGCATTTTCCCGATGAAATGACCGTCGCCACTACCCGAAACTAACTCCACGACATTCCTTCTTCAAGTTCCACCCCAAACCTAACCCTTTTTTGTCTCAATTTCATGGGGATAGCACCAGCGGCACCGTGGGAGAGATCGGCGAAAATCCGCCATTTTTGAAGGTGATTTCTTCGACCACCACCATCATTAGCCTCCTCTTGAACCCAGGAACAAGTCCCAAGC